ATTTCCCACCACACTGGAGTATCAAAAGATACCAAAACTGAAATTAGAACAGATTATTCATCGAAGAGTAGACGGGGAGAGATAGAGAGGCGTGGCTGTGAGTCATACTTGAATGTTCTGGCTGGAAACACAGGCACTGGTCCACTGAGATTGTTAAAAGACAAATCCCTGCAAGATCCAAGTAATAATATAAACAGAACCCCAGATTCAAATGTTTGAACTTCAGAAAAGCCATGAAGAGAAGGCAGGATTCTTATGGCCAAGACAAAGAAGACAGGCGAATGAAAACAAACAAAATAATGAATACTCACAAGAAAGCAAGCTGGGGAATTTTGGCCAAAGACGAGGGAAAAGGCCCGGACAAGCTATTATTGTTCACCCTCCTACTCATTATAAGACAAAATATCAAAGTGCAAGTTATTTTCATCAATAAGAGAAAGAAGCAACAAGACAGCTCGAAACTTATGCTTCAAATATGTGATTTCCAAGAAAATTGGAAAATAAGGAAGCAGGGAATAACTTCACAAAGTCCATCTTCAAAAATTAACATTTCATAAAAGTCGTACATCTAAAATGATGAAATCGCTGTAGAGAGTGAAAATTCAGAGATTTTTTCCTCCATGATTTTCAAGAAACCAAACAGAAAGTATAGGAGGGAAAATATTTTGAACACTTACAGATAGCGTAGACCATTCAGCTGAGCAAAAGATGCTGGTATTGGGCCCGAGAACCGATTGTTAGAGAGATCTAGTGTTTGCAGCAACGGGAGAGCTCCAAGTTCAATGGGAATTGGACCGGAAATGTTGTTGTTCTGCAGCAGCCTTCGAAGTTGGACAACAAATAACAGTCAGAAGACAAAACGAAACATGGAAAATCCATGGTGAGCTATGTTTTTGGAGTAGTTATCATATTCTTCCAGTTAAACTGATTTTCTTGGGATAACATCATAGATGGGAAAGATACATAAAAACAGAACTCTTAGTTATGATTTTCGATTAAACAAGGCAAAGAAAATCACAGAAGATTTCAATTTGCTTCCTTTAAGAACAGAGCTTAAACGACAAGACGACTTCGGTGTGTTTTCAACTAGGATCTCTTACACTTGGCGAAGATTAGTGAGGTTCCCAATCGCTCCAGACAAGCTTCCAGAAAGAGACTGGCTCGGAGCTCCCCTGTCAAAACAAAACCCAGAAGTTGAACGCTTCAGTTCTTATTTCCTCCTCTGGGAAATCAAATCCTTAGACCTGAACACTTCTCAAAACTGGAAAAAAGAAAAAAAGAATACTCACAGTCCTATAACGAGGTTCTCAGGGGAGCAGGTGATCATTGCCCAGCTACAAGGGTCCACCGAGTCCTCATCCCAATTGCTGAGCACGCCGTGCGGATCATTCAATGCCGTCTTCAAATTGATCAGAGCTTGCACTGCAGAAAAGGAATAAGCCCCAAGGGACAGAGACATAAACTAGGAAGCACTCTCAGAATGGAAACTAATAGTTATGTTTTTTTTACCTTCAGGGTTCCGAGGTTCATAAGAAAGGCAGAGAAAGGCAGAAGAGAGAATGATCAAACAGAGGAGTTTAGGAACCATGGCTGCGAAGAAATGCAGAAAAAAGAAAAAGCAGCAGCAGACCATATTGCCTGAAGAGCGTGAAAATGCAAAAGCCATTTGAATGCATCCACTCTCTTTTTTCTCTGTCTCCCTACAACAATTACACACCTCTCTCATTCGCTCTTTTTTCATTTCTCTGGGTTCTCCCTTTTCAGTCACCCACTGCACGCCCCACAACCCATATTACTCGCTCACTCACACTAACCTTACCAAAAGCTCAAAAAGAATACAATACGGAGTGAAAGACAGGGGCGGGAAGGAGAGAGAAACAAACTCCTTTTTGTATCTTTTTATGTAGGTAGAGAGAGAAAGGGATGCGTATCAGTTGGGTGATACGAGTTGTCAGTGCAGAATTTGAGAGAGATTGTACTGGTTTGGCCGGACGAACAAAATACAATCTTTATTATGCTTGATTCAGGGTAATGGTGAGGGAGAGGGCGAGCCTCCATTTTTTATTCAGAACCAACACCCAAAAACGCCACCCCCTTTAGCTTCCTCCCATTTCAAACACTCCACTAATTGAGCTTCTGGATTCATGCACTTCTTCTCCACAGTTTTTACTTTTAGTACAATTTTTATGATGCCCTTTTTCATCACGTTGCAATTGTTATTTCCCTACATTATTATGCTTTGAATGTTTCTTCTTTTTTCTTTTTTCTTTTTTTTTTTGTGGCATTTTTTACTGATTTTTTAATTACAATTCTAAACAGAATTGAGGCATGTGGGGCTGCATGTATTATCATAACAAAACGACATTATTGAAGGGATTTGATTATCAGTTGACTTTCTTACTTCATATTTTTCATTAATATACCATTTGATCCTAGATTAGAATATTAGAGTAGGGCTATCGAGATAACTCATGCATTCTAGCAGGAAAAAGTTATGAAGGATGTGAGAGTTTCATTATTAATTATCATAATACTCTAATCTAATCTAGACTAGAATCAACACATTTCATTCAAACTTGGAAGGAGGCATCTTGGGTTGGGGTTTCGAAAAGAAAGGTAAAGGGTAAAGGGTAATGCAATAATTAGAATGCAAAAGCAGAGAATATAATGATATTTAAAGAAGACCAAGAAGAAGAAGGATTTAGAAACACTTTCCAATTACCAACGCCGGAAAAAGGCTGCAATCACCAAAAATATATATAATATTTTTTTTAAAATATATTTATGGCATACCTTCTTCTCCACCATACACTTTATTATTTGAATGCCATCCCTTTTCTATTTTTCAACCTAACTTAAAAAGGCAAGTAGTTCGCTCTAGCAGCCTAGGGATTAGAAGGATGAATCGAACATTTAGGCCGACCCCTGAGGATTAACCAAAACTCAAAAGGTCTATCTATAGAGGAGTCGGTTAAGGCCTAGTTGGCTGAATCACGCGCATCATCTTCTCTTATTTTGTCACTATCTTAAGAATTCTAGTGAGGTTCTTAGCCAGATGTCAAAAAACTTCCGGCTCATATTATACTTTGAAGTTTCTATGATAAGTGCAGAGATGATCATGTGAGAGAGATTGTCCAAGAGTATGTTGAAAATACAATACGTTTTCAAATATCTAGGCTATTCATAAACTCGATACTACTTTAAACATCATAGGCAATTCCGACTTAATTTGAGCTAAATTTTGGTACGAAACAAACACGAAGCTGACTTTAGGCGGGTGTTTTTAGAAAATGAATACAGGAGATTAGTTTGGATATTGGATTGTTTTGGTAGAGAAAAGAAAGAAAGAAATTGTGGAAGACAAAACAATGATAGGAAATGAAAGAAAAGAAAGGAGGTATGAATTGTAATGGGTCACATCAAGTCATTTCCAATGTTCTCACACTCCAACTGGCAGAGCGAACAAAGTGTCTGTGTCAACAACACCCTGGGGTTCGCTCTGCTGCTGCTTCTGCTTCTGCTGCCGGTGGCTACTACTCCATAATTTCACACTCCCCTTCTGCCCATTTTCCTTGCCCTTGCCCTTGCCTTTGCTTCTCTCTTCTACTAAGTAAGCATTGGAAAGCGCAGCACAGCGCACAACAACACTGGATATTAGAAACTATTTCGAGGGTATAGTGCCTTTTGGGGACCAAAACATCTCACTCCAACCCAACCCATATTAATTGGATTGGTGCTTGGGGGAATGGGAGTGCCCATAATCTTGCTTGGATTGCGTTTATTTGTGTGTTTGGTGCGGTTGGAATTGATGCTTCCACGTTTGGTCGCTTTTCTTTGAATTTCTTTTTCTAAAGTTGCGAACACAAAAGCCAGCATTAGCGCTACATTACATAATTTCATTTGTTTTATTTTTTCTCTTCCCCCACACAAAGTTAGAGAGAGATAAAGTTAAAGTGACGCACCCGTGCCTTACCCTTGCTCAGCTTTTGGGCCCGCAATATCTGCCTACTATACTACTTTCTGCTTCTTATTTAATTATTATTATTATTATTATAATAATTTACAAAAAAAAAAAAAAAAAATACAATTACCAAAGGATATTATATGATAATTGTGCCATAACTATTATTATTTTAACTACTGGTTGGGCTCGCCATTCAGACCAAATATAGCGGCTTAGTGGGCCATATTCAGGCCCATTGTTTTTAAATGTGGAGACTGTGGGCCAAGCCCATGAAATGGGAGGCCTCCCTGAATCCAATCTGGATTCTCAATTTAATTCGAAATATAATTCCATTTTCAATTCTCTCTCATATATGTTAAAACTAAATAAGGATAAAATCACACGTTTTGATACTACATAAGTAGTAAAAACAATTAAAGTAAATTATATAAATAACTTCAGAACTAAAACTATGTTAAATTGCAAGTTTAGTCCTCAAACGTTCATATAAGTTTTTAAATTTTTGTTTGAGCATCGAATTTAATTTATTATAAATTTAATTTATTATAAATTCGACAAAATAAATAATGGGAGGAATTTTCGAAAATGAAAAAGAAAAAAAAAAAATTGAGAATATGACAACCCACCAATGACAATGGGATTATGGCCAATACTTGGGGAAATGCCAAAAAAGAAAAAGGAAAATTCGAGAAAAGGCACGAAGAGGGCGTCGCAGGTGATACCCAACTGATAAGACACTTGCATGGTGGACGCACTCAATGCCTCATCATCATCCTCATCATCATCATGCAATCTTCAACTTCCCCCTTTTTCCTGAAGAAATGTTGTATAAACTACATCTCCTTTTAAGCTTATTTTCTTCATTTTTTGATGCACAATTTCAATATGATTGGTCAAATCCTCACACTTTTCTCGAGGAAACATCATTAATCTATGCAACAGACAGCGGCAGGCACAGAGAGGCAGCCCCAATTTTCTGACATTTTCGTTCCTTTCAAATGGTTATAGAACATTAAGAGAAGAGAAGACAAGGAAGTCATTGAAGTGGCTGCCCTAATCTAATCACATTCATCAAAATTAAACTAAGAAACCCTGAAACAACCTATTTGGTACCGCTACAAAGAGAGGAGTGAAGAACAAGAAAATCCCGACCTATTTCTTGGGAAAATTTACACAACTATTCCTTGTATCAACAACATAAGAATAATTATTCTTTCCAAATGTGTTTCTAGAGAGTTCAAATTTCATAAATAAAAACCAGAGATTGAGCCGTCTCCGCCAATATCACCACCGCTAATGATCTGATCTGATCTGATCTTTCACACCAAATTTCTACCTTAACAAAACCCCATTACCTTCTTCATCGCCATTCTCTATGGAAGGAAACTCCCACTCTTCCTCTGCCCCGGACGCAACCTTCAGCTCCGCCGCGGCCCTGAATGCTGCAGAGATGCGCATATGAGGCATGGGTGAAACAGGGTCTTCATGAAAACGGAAAAAGGAGGCAACTTTATGGGTTGGTGGGTTCATATTGGAGAAACAAACCAAAAACACGAAAAAGGGAACGTGGGTGTGGCCGGATTTGTATTCTTCTCCTTCTCCTTCTCCTTCTCCTTCTCCTTCTTCTAATGGCCCCCTTATAATGAGGGGGGTTTGTGAGTTTCCACCATTGTAAAGAGAGAAGCAAGGAAATTGGGGAAACAATGGTTAAAAAAGAAGTGTGTGTTAGGAAGAAGCGAAGGAGTAAAAGGAATGGGTAAGATTATGGTGGATGAGAGTGTTTTGTGTCTGTCCAAATATAAGGAAGCCAAGTAACTATCTATCTGTCTGAACACAAGGGAAAGTGTTTTGTGTGTAAGAAAATTGTACGGTTTGAAGAAAGAGGTGTTCGAGGGAGTGAGTGAGTGAGAGGGTAATGGCAATGGTAATGACAGTATTTATGCCCAAAAGAAACTCCCTTTTCCTATTTTTCCCTTCTGCGTTTGCTTTCGCATCAGAAGAGCCAGGTTAGCTAGATTTGCGCAAGCACCATATGTTATTTACCATTTCCATGCCTACCCTTGTTGGGAGGGAGAAACTACGGTTGAACCCAAGAAGAAGCATTTAAATTGGGAAGCAAAGAATTGGAGTTCTAAAGGGAAAAGTAGTGAATTTGATGAAAGAAGCAGGAAGCAGCGAGGCCGAGGATTAGTATCAAGACATGGAGACCGACACCAAAACCCTACAAACAAACCAACAGAGAAGACACAGTTGAGTGAAGGAAGTGTATGAGTAGAGTCTTTAAAAGCTTGGCTACCACCTAAACAACACAGCCTCCATTTTATTTAGTCTAAGCAACAAAGTTGGTGAATGTGGAGTCTAATGAAAATGATTGAAAAGGAGTGAAGAGGTAAGGTTTTATCCTTTAGGTGCTTTCTATGAGAAACCATCCACCCCACATTCTTCCACTTTCCCCCCACAAACGCACATATCATTAAATTCCCCAAAAAAAAAAAAAAAAAAAAA